CCGGGGAAGATCCATCAATTTTCCGTGGGACAGGCTTTTAATTAAAACGGGGGTCTTGGAGCGAGTGGAATTGGGAGGTCGAATTCTCGTCTAGCTGAATCGGAGGGACGATTGCATAGCCCACGGGTGATATCCTGTCCTTCCACTTCATACGTTCTGCCTCTCTATCTACCTATTCTCTTGACCTAACCCCATCTTTTACCCACCCTAGTGCAACCCTGTGGCCGCACTCTCCGAGGGTTCCTCCATCTCCCTCTATCCCAATCACAGCTACGAACGGAGATACCCAATGGGAGCCAGGCTAGCTCCGCCATTATATCCTGGGCGCAAACCAATTATCAGGCTATTGTTTTTTTTTTCTCCCTGTTCCTTTATAAAATTGTAAAATTCCGGGGGAGGGGCGAGAAATTAGGGGGGAATAAAACTCCTGTTTAAATGGAGAAATAACGATTCTACGTAGTGAATAATCAACTGGTCGAAGGTGTGGGCTGCATGCATGATACTTGTGCTCACCGTGCGGAAAAATGAAGCAGGTAGACACGCGTGAAATTGCAAGTCTCTCGGAAAAATTACATCCTCAACTGTCCCAAGTCATTTAATTCATTGAAATTAGTGTATACAAGTGAGAAGATTGAATCGCATCCGGCAATTAACCTCACCAGTGTCGGGTTACTCGGAAAAAAAAAAATCAGGCATGTGTGTGCAAACGTAAATAACAGGCGTGGATGTCCATTTCGAATTTTACCGCATTCGTTGGGGTCACGATAAATGAACAAAACAATTCCAGGTACATAAAAATCATTTTTACAGAGTCTTGAACTTGGCGATTGGAGAATCAAACTGGTGTTGTTGTTGTTTTTTTTTTATGGAATTTTTATATTCGATCGATGAGGAAGAGAGAATTGCTGAATCGATATCCTCATAGACGAGTCGTTTCCAGTCATTCATAACGGCGCATAATCCCTGGGGAATCGCGACGCCATGTTGTAAAATGTGGAGTAAATCGGGATATTTGTCTTGCCCACGCAAACCCGAAGACATGGAAAGGTGCATGGGTTAAACCGGATACTGCGTTACGGAATAAGATATTATAATCTCACCAGGAGTCATAAATATTATTGCGGTGACGCTGCATTACCCGTGCTCGTAAAGAGCTGAACGTGTTGCCCGGAGGGTTAAATCGTGGAGCAACCCCGGTGGTGGGGTACGGTATAGTGACATTTTAGGAAGCCACCTCCGGGCCTTATTACGCCCGTAAATATCATTGATATCCGCGTTCATGTACTCGTAATCGCTCTGGTACCCGCTATATACATCGCAAGCCGTGCTCCTAAGTACAGTCTACCCAAGAGAAGCATCACCAGAGGATCACGGACTATTTAATAGACTTTATTGTGAGGAGATGTCAGTGTTAAAAATAATATTGCCCAAGCAACATTGTGGGGGTGTACACACAGCGTCTCGAGATAATGAAATTTACGATCCACCTAATTAGGAAGAGAGGAGAAAAATTCTTTCTTTAACGACTTTTATCTCCAACTTCTTTCAAACCCCAATAAATTTTTCTCATCCATGGTAAATTTCAACATTGTTATAAATAATTTCCATATTTACGTTTTTCCAATGGAATATATATAGGTATTCATTGAAATATCCATGGGCACACACGGTCATCGCTATTTAACATGGCGCAGTCACGATGGCGCAGCTTTTTTGCCTATTCTGCCGTGAAATTAGACTGCGGCTCGTCGTCCGCCCAACTCGACTACTTTTTTTTTCTCTCCCTTTCATTCCACCACCTCCCTCGGTTTCTCCCTCCCTTTATCGCCCCCTCCCATTTACCCCCCCACTCGAGCTTTCCCCTTACTGTTCACCCCCTCCATCATGACCAAACTATATCTCCATCTTTCTCAGTTGCACGTACTGCTCTTCGTACATTTCCCCCTCCACAACTCGACTCGAATACATATTTTACAGACATTCATGATGGCCGCCGCGCATCTGTGCGGACCTGTCTGCTCCCCCTCCCTCCCCATGCCGCCCTTCCCCTTCGCGCCATTACATTTTCCATCCCCATCCCCATCCCGTCCCCGTCGGTGCTTCTTCTACTTTTTTTTTTTCTCTCTTTCATTTTCCGCATGTTTTCTTTTTTTTTCTCCAATGTATAGGCTATAGTACACATGAGGGCGTGTAATGCTCAGTACGTGACACCATGAGGCCGTGGTCCAGGGAAAAACGGGACTCTTTTTTTTTTTTCAGGAATTTACACGGGGATATAGAATAGCGGATTGGATGATTCAACTCGTACCACTTTTCTCAGGCTATTTTCCGGGGAGTTACCTGATCGAATACGATGAAAAGAAAAGCGTCTTTTCTATCTCCCGCGAGAGACATATTTTTTCGATAACGATATTGGGGAGATGTGTCCACTTGTACTTTTATTTTATTCAAAATTTCGTGCTCAACTATTCGATGAGACAATTTCGTACAACTTCCTAGATGCATTAATTATTGAAGACATGCTGATGTATGAAGGCCTCATGATTGCATTAGGGCGTAGTGACCGCAGGTGCCAGGACTGTGGCCTCGGGACACCTACAAGTACCTACAAGTACCAACAAGTACCGCCCCATTCTCCAGACAAAAGTACGTAATCTATCTGTGTATAATGCGACCAAAATTACCCAGGTAATTCCATAATGAGGGGGCCCCCAGTCTCGGTACAGAGTGTGCCCCATAGATTATTGCTGGTGAGTTTTTCTTTGTGGAGGCAGGTATGTCGAGGATAATGATTTTATACTTTGTCGGTGCGTGGGTAGCGATTTTGCTCGGTACCACGTACCTTTCCTTGCACTCCACGCAGTCATTATAATAATTATCAATGCCATTTTACTCTGGACCCGATGCCGACGGCCCCAGCAAGGACGTACTTGCCTCCTTCCCCACCTCCTCTCGTGCCCCCTCCGCCCCACCCCACCCTTTCGCCCCGCGATTCTGAATATGTACGTGGAAGCACACACGGGTGCTTTACGACTCCTTGTCACGGACGTTACGTGCCAACTTTACTGCCAACCATTTTATAGGCCAACTTGCCTCGCACAGGACTGCGTCACTCTTCAGGACCAGAATCTCCAGCTATGGCCGTTCATCCTCAACTCTTCAGGATTTTTATATCCACCCAATTCTCGCTCTCTCCAAGCTAAGTCCACTGTAATCCCTGCGTAATGAACTAGAAAGGCGGTGATGATGGTTTCTCACCGTTGAAAAACGACAAGTACCGGGGCATTGAGAAGTTTGGTGGAGACATGGCAGTTGGAGTTTTTCCGAATTAACGGAAAGTTTTTTTTAAAAAAAGTACCTGGACCCTTTTTCATTACTGTATCTGCTGTCGATGCTCGGGCCAAAGTCGAGAATTGTCGAATTGTCGAAGGAGTCGTAAAAACTCAGGTGCCTTTTTTTTTTTTCACTTTATTAGTCGTCCTAAATGCCCTGGTACCGAAGAGCTTGTAGGGTTGCTTGGCCAATGGCTTTATGCAGGGGATTATAAAAAATAGAAGTGCTCAGGGAATTTCCACCATTTTTCGATGACTCTATGTTTCCAGGGATTTTATTAAATTATTTTACAACTTACTCACGGCAATTGCTGTTGGAGAATTTTTTTTTAGTAAGCAGAAATGTTTTTGTTGCTTTCAGATGGTGTTTTAATGTGGAAACGTCTTCAGTTGTCTGACCGTCGGATCCAAGAGGATGATTCTATCACTGGGAGCCAGTGATTCCTCCGGCTGCCTCCAGGTGGCATCAGCCACCAAGCGATTCAGTTTCACTGATGAATATATTCCATATGGGTTTAATGATCGGGTTATCAACTCAGCTAGGTCACGAGATAAGAGGTCAACACTTGGCTCAACTACAAATGCAATTTTTCTGGAAAATTAAATATAAATGAATAATTGATTTAAACTCGTCATCCAATTTCTTTTTTCAAGGCTATCGCGTCTGAAACGAGATTCCGATAATCAGCATTCAAGACAGTGTGTTGGGATTAAAATAGCTGTAGCAATTCTCGTGACCCAACGAGCTCTAAAATCATAAAATCATGTTTTCACGACACGTTGAAAAAAAGCGAGCACGACCCGTTGAGATCTTGTCCTATACCAACAATTTCAAGCCTACAACTCAATAAAATGTAAGACACCTAATTATCCCATTCATCCACACTGATAATATCGTTGACTCTCTTCCCCTCAGATTGGAGAATAAAATGATGATGTGGAGGTAGTGGAGCAGCTCGCAAACCAGCCAATAATTTCATTGGATAAGAAGGAAAAAAAAAAGTAAGCATAACAAGGGAGTGAAAAAAAAGTAAAAAAAAAGGAGAATTGTGTCCAGTTTTATCCTGCAACCCTCGGGTACAACAGATTCCCCGGATTACCCCGAGCGACTCTCCCTCCCTTCGCCCTCGTGGCAATAAAAGCTCAGATCGTTCCCCCGAGTTGTTTCATGGCGACGGCGCACGGTGGCGCCAGGTTCCTGCCATCACTTCAACATCTGCACACACATACACCAACACCCGAGTGACAAAAGCCACCTCCAGGTTGATGTGAGCACCCACAGGGGGTGGATATGAAAGGAGTTACGAGTGAGAGAGGCAGTGGCAGACGTGGCTGCGCATGATTCCAGGAGCACGAGGCAGGAGGGGTAGCCGATGATCCTGCGCACAGCAGAAAACAGCCCCTCTACTTCTCATTTTCATCCCCCGCACGTTTGCCATGCCCGGGGGTAGGTTTTTTTTTTTTTTAATTCGGGGGTGCATGCTAGACAAGCAGCAAACCCAGGTCAGATCGTCTCCGCGTGGCACTCAGCTACAAACTCCCTCGTCTCAAACAACCACCGGGTCTCATCACCTCCTGTTTTTCCTGGTGATCATCAACCGATTTCTTTTTCACTGTCGAGAGGATATCATCCGCGTTCGTGGCGAGTGTGACGGTGGCTGAATACTAACGCATCCGTAACTCCACTGGTCTGGCCAGCACAGCGACTGTCCTCCCAGTCGGACACCAACCGCGGAGCTGAACACGTTGCACCATCCAATCGTATTATTTCATGTCTCGAGGCTGTCATCATCACAATGAGAGAAAGCATCATCTCATGACCAGCATCATGGCTCTCGATAAACCATCGCCGCATCCGACTTAATTCCACCAACGGAGGGAGAGACTCAGGGTGTTGAGGATAGTGGGGGAGAGGACAACTGAGGTTAGTACGATTTTTCCATTGAATTTACAGTGACATTCGCATGAATTGGTGATATTTAGGATGTGTTTGTGGTGGTTGTCGGCGGGAGTATCGATCGCTTGTCACTCGATAGGCTCATAATTTAAAGGTGGAGAATCCCCCGGACGACAACCGGTCGTAGGGTCCCATTGGTCTCTCGGGGGGTCGAGAGGGAGGAGGAGGAGGAGGGGGGGCATTGCCACGATCGCTTGTCTCTTTGTCTCTTGTCCTCCAATATTCTCCAATCTCCTTCGATATCCTCTCCTCTTCCCTCTCCTCATTTCTTCAATTTCTCTTCAGCATCTCTTCTTTTGTTCCACTATCACTGACCGCTCATTGATTCTCGGTTATTTCTGCATGATAATCCCCCTCCAATGGGCCCTTGTCACCAGTGCAGGGGACGCATGTTCCTAACACCATGGTGTCGTTAATAACAGGGAGATTGATTTATGTCCGCAGGCAGATGTGCCAGGCTTTGGGCTTGAGGAATAGCCGAGGGCTTCTGCACGTGCTGAACCATCACGAGAATTGACTCGGTCATTCACCCAACTCGACATTCAGCAAATGATGCTGCAGTCTGCACCCAAATAAAATGACCGGTAATTAACTTATTTCAGTCTAGACAATTGTTTGTAGCTGTTTGCAAGTATCACTCACTTGATTTGGCTGGTTGTTTTTAGGTCAGCTGGGAGATGATGATTCGTTGGAGTTGAACGAATTGTGGATGACATTGGCGAGTGATGTGGAACCCCCTGTACGTATACTGAATGTATCCTGAGTGTAATCCTGTCCGGTATACCTTCAGTATACGTAACAGGAGGCTACACCGTTCTACGATGATCTTCGCTGGAGCAACTAACCTATTTATTAGATCTAAATACTTTTTATCATTGGGTTATGTAAGATCGATTGTAAGTGATTGTAATAATCCTTGGCTTAGATTATTAGACATTTATTTTGTTAACCTTATCGGAGATTATTATCGGTTCGTAAGGTGTGCCATTAAATATGTGAGATATTACTATCAATGGTATTTTTGTTGAGCTCTTTTCATCGGATTGGCAAATATATTCTTCTTGAAATGTCGTTGCGCCGGTTGTTGCAATATTTGTATGATCAGTGGGTACTGAATTATCATGGAATAAATGAAATTATATTTATGGAGTGGCTGTCTTTTGAAATATACTTTCACACTCAATTTTATCAATTAGAAAAAATAATATAATAATAAACTTAAATGCCCCCATGGCATTAATTAATCGGAATTGTAGCAAGTTGAAATAAATAATTTTTGTTAATTAAACTTCGTCTAGAAATAGAAAGAAATAATAATTTTATCAGGAACAAATCCGCCATCGTTCTGAGTTTTACAAAGGGGGAGAAGGGGTGAAGGTAGAGAGGTAGAGTGAAACTTTCTCTCGAACTTTCTCAAGAAGGGTTGCGGTCACTGCTGGACTTCTTTTACAGCCGACATGTTGAAAGGGTTTGGTGAAAGTTCTGCTGGGTGCAATAAAAAGCGAAATTTTTTTGGAAAGCCCCTCAAAAGGGTTTACTGCCTGGAAAATACAACGGGGTAGGGGTAGAATTTCACTTTTCACCCAAAGAGTTGGTCAGTTTTTTTTCACCTCTCGGTGGAGCATCACCGGGACCTCCGAGATTAGTCAGTTTAACGTTTAGTGTGAGGTAAGTCAACTTTATGTGGTGTTATAAAACGGTTTATTGGGATGATAAAGTTGATGAGGGATTAAGAGGTAAAGTTACTTGGGGAGGGATATCCTCACCCTGTTGACTTGAAATCACTTAGTCGTCCTTCCGGTATATTTGATACGTATTAATAATTTAAAAACAATTTCACTCTTCGAGAGAATAAAAAATCATTTCAAATTTATCTGCCGCGTACGAGAATTTCGAAATTAGCAAAACGGAGATTTACCGTGACAGCCACAAATCACGTGAAATGACGCGAAATCATGTGGAATCATGTGAAACTCAGTTCCTATTTATTCCTCAGCGTAGTAATAAATTTTGAATGTCGAAATTCCCTGAAATTCCAGTGCAACTGTCAAAGCTGTCAACAACACCCGAATTAGCGAAATATAAAATGGCAAAAAGACAAAAGAAAATAGTTTAGCGGGTCGTAAGTTTATCCAATACCGGGGAAAACTTGGATTGGCGAGTGGTGATAGTAAAGTTCGCGGGGTAGATGTCTCTGGAGTCGAAACGTGTCAGTGACACTGGATGCTGGGGTTGGTGATGGTGGAGTGGTGGGACAGGAGGAAAAAGAGAAAACACTGGGATGCTGGGTGAGAGAGCGGTGAAAGGGATGGAGAGAGATAGATATTTGGGTGGCGAATGGTGCGGGTGAGAGGGAGACAGTGATATCGGTCTATCCAGCCAATGGGACTGCACGCCAGGTTGAGTGGCACAACCCCTGGGACAACATGGCCGCCACGTGGAAAAGGGAGATTTACCGAGGGTTTGGTTGGGTCAGTGCTATCGAACCAGCGGTGGGACAATGGGATAATGCGGGTGGAAAGGGGGTGGCAAGGGGGTGGTCTTGCTTTGTCAGCCATCATGGGAAGCTGCGGTGCCACGAGATGTGACTGCAAACTACCCACTGGATCAGAACCATTTATCATCTATTTACCTAAGCCTGATAGAACTAATCTCATAGTACATCGCCGCCAAATGGAACCCCAGGAGGCACGTATTAAACTTTTCACCGCGGTGTCATGTCTTTTTTTTTTTTTTTTAATTGAAAATTATCGGCTTGACGGGCGGGGAAATTCAACTGTTAAAAATATGATTTTGCATACAGTAGTTAAATTTAAAGGGACAATAATGGCGGCAGGTAGGGTAATGGGATGCTGCAAGTTTAATGACTCACTTGAGACAAATTTATGGATTGACTTAATCTCAAGTTTTGATGAAAAGGAGGGCCTGTGTATCTGTCGGCGACGTTTTTGTTCAATTGATTTTCGACATTCCACCGATTCCAACATTTTCTAGGGCTAATGCTTTCTCTTCGGTTTATCTCCCATTCTAGAGAGACAAGATAATTGATGGGTTTCTTGAACGCCCTCCGTATCAGTGGAGCTTTCAGATTTTCTTTTATTACTCTCGCAAGTACCTCAACTATCAACGGAAAAAGTGGATTTATGAAGAAAAATGGAAATAATAATTCTGGTGATTTTTTTCTACTGTTTTTCACGGGATCCCCCACGTATTGGTGGCCTCGCGTGCTCATCGATTAATTACGCACTAGTTTCCACCAAAATATCGAGCTCATCACTCCCCAGGCACGAAAAAAAAGACAAATTCCAATTACTCCTTGCGGAATGTTGCGCGGAAGCTAAATAGGGAAAAAGTTTTGCGGAGGGGAGCTCGAACCGCAATAAAGTGGGTCTGGAAAAAAATTCGGGGGGGTTCATTTAGTCATAACTGCACCCCCAAAACAGTAATAAACCCAGTCGGAAAGCCGGAGTTCCTGGGTAAGGGTTATTGAAGAGGTAAAAATATTCTTGTACATCTGCGAGTGACAGGGAAATCCCGATTGTAAAGTCATTTCAAGTCCATAATATTTTATGAATATTGCAGAAAGCAGTGCCAAAAAAATGCCCTTTGCTGAAAAAAAAAGGGACCGGGAGTCAGCGAATAGCCGTTTAAATACTCATTCCAGTGCAAATCTCGGTACTTTCTTGCATTGAAAAAAATCATGTTTGAATTTTTAGATTTACTCCTAATGAAAAAAAATGGTTGTCGTACGGGACAATTTTCCGCTAAAACTGCGATAAAATATTTTAAATTGTTGCATTTCACGTTCTCGGTTTACGATTGATTAAAAAAATCATTTATCCATCATTTATGGTGTTACATCGATGGGTTTTTAGATAGAAACAAATAGAATTATTCCATTAACATAAATTTTCACTTCAATTTGAATATCCAAGTGCGGGTCGCACTAACGTGGCAGTTCTGTCATTTCTCGAATTGTAAAGTTCGGAATATTTTATGAACGGGATAAATAATAGTTACACTCGTTCGTAAAGATGGAGAATTAATCTAAATTCCTTGCAATGCCGGCATTTATGAGCATTATTGGGTTTAATAAAATTCATTGCTCGGGTTTGTGATTGTCGAATGGTACATCTGCACCGAATTATCTGGATTTCGCTGAGGATTTTTTTCATCTCCTCCGACAATTCAATTCCCAATTGTTCATAATAATCATAATTTATTAACAATAAAACTCACATCATGATCGGCTGGCTAGCGGTCCGGCAGTCCAGTAGTAATCTGTAACAAAAAACCAAGAAATTAATAACAAAATTTTTTTTTTAGTGAAAAATAATCAAAAATTGATTTTTAAAGGAATTTTGAGAATTTCGACGTGTTTTTTTCGGGAATTTTTAAATTTTATGCCAGTGGAAAGGGTGCGACCCCCGGAGAGTGACAGGAGAAATTCAAAGGATTTTCTCTCTGGGATACACAACTCGAGGAGAAAGTTGCGGCGTGACTCGGCGTTGAAGGGTTTAGGAGAAAGTCTCTCATTTATAGCTCCTGTTGTAAAAGTGCCTGAAAGGGTTTTTCTGGAGGATTCCAAAGCCCAGGGTATCTTTTCCGTCGCTCTGGGCTTTCACTACCCAGCAGTCGACTTTCCCGGGTCGGCGGAATCATTCTCACCTGAAACGTGAGTTTTTTTTTCAAAATTTTTGTGTCCACCAAAAATTCAAAAAGCGATTGCTTCCAATAAATCGGCGATTGGTGCAGCCCCGCGGTCAATCAGTGGTCAATCATAATTATCAACCGCAAACCCATTAAAAAAAAACCTCAAATTTCACTCCATTTTTTGCGGTAAAAATCTCATTGTCATTTTTAATCCGAATTATCGGAATAAAACTACGAGCATCCACAAAAACCATTTCGCAACTCTCCCCATTCGCTCTGGGATAAAAATAAAAAATAATAATAATAAAGAGAGAGTAAATGAGAGAGAAAAAGGGAAAAAAACATGGTAATTGATTTAGAACTCCATCCATTCAATAATATACGGTCCACATTAATGCAGAAAAAGCCAATATCCTCTCGAACGAGGAGAAAAAAAAATGGCGAATCCCCGAGGTAGAATGAAAATACCACGATTTTACGGTAAAAACGTGTGGAAGCCAGTTTGTGTCCCGCCCTACGAGGGTTATTTGCATAGTCGGCCCGTCCTTTATCGCGGATTGCATTTAAAATCCCTCTCCAGGCACTTTTGCACTTTTGCATCGCAATGGCGGCCTTCTTGGTCCATGTGTAAATTGGCAGGCTCTGGGATTCTTGGCATCGGCCACCTCAATGTCGGGGCAGTTAAAATGAACGCCTTATGAGGCACGTACCGTTGCCAACTTTAATGCCGCCCAACTCTTTCGAAAATCCGATAAGCCCAAGGGCTCTCCTCCAAACTTATTTAATGGCCGATTTTTTGCAACATTTTATTCAATTTCAGGGGGATCTCGTCTCATGTCAACAGAATGACAAAAAAAAATAAACGTAATTGTTGTTACTGGCTTGTTTTTTAATATCGGATTAAAATCTAGATTTTCATTTATTCTATCCATTTGAGGATCAAATAAGAATCGTACTCAATATGCGACACGGAAGAAACCTACGAGAGGAAAATTTATGTGACCAGATTATATGAGGCTGTAAAAGTGAATTAAACTCGTTTTATATCGTGCTCCGGTATAATTTATTTATGAGAAAGACCACTGGTATCTATTATTCTTTCTCTCACCATTGATATCAGGGTAATATTGCCGTGTCCACCAATCGTCCAAGAAATTACAAGTGCAAAATGCGAAGAGAAAAAGAAAAGACATTTTTATTTCTGCAGTTCATAACGCAGGGTTTTATGCGCGAGAGTTATGAAAGGGAAAACCAGTTGTTATCAGGGAGAGTGAAAGAAAAAAATAACGGGAATTAATATTTGGTAAAGTACGACTCGGTGTAGTTCATTAATTCTCCACACGGATTTCTGATAAACATCTTCGGGGGAACGACATGTGACACGTGGTTGCAAAATGGTAATTAATTGCCAGTAAAAGATGCCAATGTCCACCATCACGCCATATTTATTTTAATATTCAGCGGACGTTAAATTGTAAAAATTGTTATATCCATTTT